ATGGAATTTGCTTGATTAGATTACACCGCACCCTAATCACTATGGTTAAACCTTGAACTTAAATTGGAGCCACACACAAGACTCCCACCGACGACTGGCAGCTGGAAATGAACGGATGAATCTATGGTCGAGAGCCTGGCAAACACAAACACACATAAATTAAACAAGTGAGGAAAAGGGAGAAAGCTGAGCCGGAAGAAAATGGTTGAAACGTGTGCTGTTTAGAAATTTATTAGCCAAACAAAAGATTTATTAATGCGAAAATTTGCAGCATCAGCACACAGTGTGCATTGTTGATCTATATTTGCCTTTGTTTCATGCGGTGGCCCACACAAGCAAATAAAGCTTAAGCTGCATGCAACACACACACACACACACACACACACACACATACAGACAGAGAGCAAGAGAGAAATGAGCAAAGTAATGTGCAAAGTGTAGCAAAAATTGACATCGAACCACCTGGAAAATCCTCCCCGACATCCTACACACACGCCACACACGACACACACAGAGAAGAGAACAAATGCACTTGCATTGATTAGTTTACCTAATTTGCTGGTGGGTTTACTTTGACGCAGACCCAACCACCCATCCGATGGCGATGGTCGGGCTGATGTTGCATTTAAGTGGATCTCCAATTTGGGGCAAAATTTTACCCACAGTGCGCTGCAGCGATTACCTCTCTCACACTCTCATGAGAGCCTCGCTTTCTCGCTAAGTGGCTTGGGTGTATGTGTTAATTGCATTGGGGCCTTCGGCGGCATGGCAGGATGGTTGGCCCCAAAAACAAGTGTGGATTCACTTGCCATAATGCACTCAAAGTGCTAGGGGTGGGGATACTCAAACGCACACACGATGCGTATGAGTAATCTGTCAGCCTGAGCCATAAATTAAATTTTTAGTCAGCCTCCCAGTAATATTTCTTAGCTCCGAACTCAGTTTGCTTAAGTTTTGCACAGATTGGCATATGAATAAATGACTGAGAATATTTCTGGGAAACTTATACAGATATACCCCCTGTATATAAATTGGCTGGGCAAAACTTTTGGTAGCTACCTGAGAGATGATTAAGTGTATGCAATTTATTAACAGATCAAAGTTTATGGCAGCCTCGTGTGTGGGCCAAGGGAGAGTGTCTTCTTATTTATGATGTGCCATCAAAGGAGCCACGCGCCTGGCACTGTGGGCCGCCAAGAAAGCCACCAATTTCCAGGAAATATTCACCAAATATCCTTCACATCTACGAGTAATTTGGGTTTATTTATAAGTTTGTTTTGGTTCCAGTTGATCGTTTTGGGAGCTCACTTAATCGTTGTGGAGCGCAATGTCGAAAGTTTTCAATTGAAGATTAAACATTGAACTGTCTTTTCCACTTTTCCCGATTAACTTGCCATTGTGCGCGCTACTGCTGGCAAGTGACACGCTGCCAAACGTCTGATGCTGACGTAATCGTGTGCTTTCTCTCACAAATTTTGGCAAGTTTTTCACTGCTTTCCTTTTCGGGTATCCGGGCATGGGGCCGCCACTCAATTGCTGTTTAAAGTGCTTCCCAACAACAATTTTTGAACTCTGATGTGGAACGAAAACTGCTGCTGTTGCTGCTGCAGCAGCAACTGTCCGGCCGTTCGTGCTACAGAAAATGGTATATAAACCTGTGATTTTTATGGCCGACTTTATTTTCCGCTATTTGTTGTGGGCCAGCCGTGCTGGGGCCCTGTGGCCTAGTCCGAGGGGCCCGCCAAGGCGTTGGAGGAGGCAACATTTGCTTTTATAGACTTTTTTCGGCTGCTGCCCGGTGTAATAGTTTCCGTTTCCACTTGGGTATCCCCTTGGCCATCTATGTGCTCGAGTGACCGACCCTGCAGATATTATTTTTGGCTTCAAAACAAAGCAAAACAAAATTACTTTCGATGGCCAAAGACAGAGTACGTTCTATGTGGGTGTAAAAAAGCTATAAACCGAAGAAATGAAGAGCTCTGATTTGCTTTTCTGCTCTCCAAGATTGGTTATACATTTTCAATGGGAAATATATAACTTAGTTGAGCAATAGTTATGCCCAGGAATCAATCTACCAACTGAAGAAATACATTTCCACAGCTTAAACACAGAAGTGTAGCATACATTTTGGGGCGGGCAGAATCTTGTGGCATCAGCGGCAGAAGCATTCATTAAGAATGTGGGGAAAGTGTTTTTGTGTGCTCCAGCTCCAGCTTAAGCTTTTAAAAGCAACAGTGAAGCCTCCACTCAACGCCACTCCACACGGAGCCCGCTGACAGACTGAGAAACTACCAGAAATCGGAGTGACGGAGTGATGACGAAGGGTGGAGCGGGGGTGGGAAGACTATTTTGACTAGACTACATCATGATGAGAGCTGCACGTGCCAGGGGCATGGACATCGCATGAACATGGCTCACACACACATACATCCAGATGTAGTAGATGTTTTTATAGATGTTAAGATAAACATCTCGGGGGCCAGGACTTCAGCAAATGAAAGGGGCTGCCGCCGCCGCCTGCTGGGGGCAACAGACATTAATTCAGGGCTCGAAAAGAGGCGACTAGAGGGAATGGGTATGCCCCGCACACGCACACACCATCTAGGCAATACCATAAAAATTTGTTGTACAGCAGCAGCAGCACACTTTAATGGGAAAATTCTCTCTGCTCCTCAGCCTCTGCCTTGAGTCCACCCCTTCTCGTACAGCGTATAGCGTATACGTATACGTATACGTAATCTGTTGTGTAATGTCTTTAGTTGTGTCAACTTCGAGGAGAGGCCAATTCCCGGTACCCAGGACCAAAAACTGATTCAGAGAGAGTGCGAAAAAAATCCACAGCCAGAGACAGAGAAAGGGAACTAAACAGCGCCATGAGGCAGAGACAAAGGCAGTGGGGAGCGGCGCACAAGTTGAAGTTTTGAAACAACATTTAGATAAATTTCCCCCGAGACCCCCAGGATGGATGGATGGCTGACTAAGGCTGGCTGGCTGGGCTGGGCTGACTAGCTGGGAAACAGCGGAAAGAATGATGTAGTGCCACAAGCTGTAGCAAATTTAGTTTTCATACATAGTTAGTCCTCTAGTAAATGGTGTAAACTACTTTGAATAAGTATCAGTCTAGTCTCGAAATTGAATTGAGGGGAACTGAGTTTTTTACTTTTACAAAGTAAAATGAAATGAAATTAAATCCCCCTCCAGGCAATTACAATAATTGAATGCTGTAGGAGCACCCGATCAATGGGTAATGAGATGACAAATAAACTCCTGCTGGCTTGTACCAAATAAATATTCAAATGCCATTTAATTTACATTACTATGGGATGCTACAACACCTCTTCAACTCTCTCTCTCTCTCTCTCTCTCTCACTCTCTGCATCTCTGTCTCTGTCTCTCTGTAAAGTAGTCGACTCCAGCTCCAGTCGCCTGGAATAAGTGAGTGCTGCTCAATTTGGTCGCTCAACTATGTACTTGGTGGTTTCGTCATTAAGCCATTAAAGGGTTGAGGAGAGCCTGCTTTTAATGGCAGCACCAACCGAAAATTGAGCAACATTTGTGGGCAAGTTCCTGCCCAACCCCCCATTGAAAGTTTTACCTCCCTCTAAAATGTCAAGTCATTAATATTCACATGAAAGCAGAACAAAACCGAAGCGAAAGGAAAACTGTGTGTTTTCAAACAGCAATTCCAGACGAATAATATTTAATTAGAGAATTGTTTAGACAAACTTTTTAATTGCAAGGCCCCGAAGGGACCCCTCCATTCTTCTGGGTTCTCTTTTTTGGAGGTTCTACTGGCATAAATCTTTCAACGCCCGAGGCTTACAGCAAACCAAAAAAAATATTGTGAAAGCACACCAGTCGGATCCGGACCCTTCAACAAGATGCAGCCTGCTGCTGCTCTAAGCCTTTAAAACGGCTGCCAGTTTGGATGCTGCCTGCCTCTTTTTCCTCTCCCTCTCCCTCTGTCTCTCTCTATCTTTCTCGTTGTGAGTAGCCCGTCAGCTGCATAAATTTTCGAAAAGCGAGGGCCACGTTAAAGTCAACATTCTGCCAGTGCTGCCAGTGGCCTACATTCGGTAGGGGGCCCGGAGTGTACTTTCAGGCATTACTGCCTCCGCCTTTCACTTTCGGTGACAGTTTTGCAGCGTTGCATGCGCCATACATACACACACACACACACACATGTGAGTGTGCGTGCTTATGCAGATGAGTTGCCAGTAACGTGTGGAAAATTATGAAGATAAATTTGTGTTTGTCTTTTTTTCTGCTTTTCTGCTCCCCTCTTTTGGGCGAAAGAGAGAGCGTCAGTCGTGTGCCACTTTGGCGGCGCCAGCTGCTGCCGACACGGACAAAAAATTCTATGAAAAATTACCCAAGTAAATCAGAAGTGAAATATGCATAGAGGGGGAAAGTTCTTCAAGAGAAGATCGCGACCAATTTAAAGTTAAAATAGCTATTGAATTGGGTTCGAAGACTAAAGCTAAAATATGTCTAGAAAGGTGCAGGGAAAACTTATTAAAGTGGGGGAGGAGAACCCTTTTAAAGCCTTGTTCCAAACACTCAAGAGAGTACTAATTGAAATCTGTGTCCTGTGCCACTGGGGTGGCGTTTTGCCTAATTAATTGACAAGTATTGGAGATGTTTCACGGGGGTGTCGGTAGAAGGAGTAATTTGCCGCATTGAATACAAATTGCAGGACCATTCGACCCTGGGGCCAATGCCGATTCCCGGCCAACTAAGCCGGCAAATGGCGAAACTTGAGATAATTAATTGAGCGCAAAACTAAACACGAATTTCGAACCCGGCCAAAAGCAATTATCTACAATAACAATGCACATGTGTGTGCTGGAGGGCCCTTTCTCTCTCTCCATGCACACACACAAAGAGTAAGGAGAGATTGGAATAGTAAATCACTTGGCATTTAGCAATCGACGAAAATAAATCGATTCTCTATTAACAGACACATTAAAAACCCTCGATTGCCTTTTGTTTCATTCCAGATAAACCCCGAAACCTAGAGAAGAGACAGATGTTGCTTTTCGTGGCGGCGGAGCAGCCCCAAAACATGGCCAAGAGCCAGCGTTTATTTATGGCCCAAAGAGGAGAAATCACATTAGATGCAAACTGCCTGTCGAAATGAACAACGAAAAGAAATATTAAATAAAAACTAGCGCCATAAAATTGCCCATAAAACAACAGGGAAAACCCAGGCTAAACCGTCCGCAAATATCAAAAAATATATATTAAAATAAAACGAAGAAAAGAGCACGAGAACGAAACTATTATTTGACAAACTGTCAGCGGAGCTCAGTCGAAGGTGAAATTTGTGAACGTTGGCGAAATTCTCGAGTGAAATCTCTGCTGTTTATGCCCGTTGCGTATACGCCGCGTTGTCAGGCGCTGTTCCGCTGTTTCAGCAGTATATATACTCCGCATCTCGCGGGCGGAGGTGTTAAATGCCTTCACATATCTCTGGTGCGGCCCGGGCCGCCTTCTGCTCTCCACCAACAACCACATCCGCCGCCATCCGCCTGTGAAAGTGCCGAGCTGTGCATTATTTCCGCGTAAGTGAACATTTTTGCCCCCGTCCCCAGGAGACTACTCCCCCCATACGAGTGTGTTGACTCTGCCGCTGAACGGCATGCGCCTCTGGAGGAATCGTCGAAGTCGCAGCAAAATGCATACCCTCGAAACGGGGCCCTGGTCCGTCCATGGGCCACAGTTGACGCAGCTGCTCCTTGGCGGGATACTCTGCATGACAATTGGTGAGTTTTCTCTGAAATTTAAGACTAAAATTGAAAGAAATGCGTACATCAATGCCCCCAGGGAAGCCATCGCCAATTAGCGACTCAATGGCTCAATATCTCAATATCCGCTTGTGCAAGCAATATCAAAGGCTGAAGCAGTAGCAGCCGCATCCGCCAATGCCACCAATGCCGCCAATGCCGTACGATAAGTGGGTGATGGGTGGTGCTGTGTGGCATGGAAAAGTAGCGCGACATTTGCTCTTCAGCTTGGGGGCTCAATTGCAGTTGCATACATTAAAAATGAATGAGTGCCTGGCTGGAACAGATGTTGCCACCCCATGCCCCTGGATATATCTACCTCAGAGGCCTTCGCCTACTCATCCTCATCCTCATCCTCCTGTTCCTCATCCTCCTCCTTCTTCTGTGAAGCAATTTACAAATTTACAACTGCCAGCGACAACAATTATGATCTGTGTGTGCGTTTGTGTCTGTGTGCGTGTGTCCACGTCCTGGTAATTGCTCTGAAGGAGCAGCAGAAAAAACTGTGAAAATAAAGGGTGAGGAAAATGATTTCAATGAACTGCATAAAGTGGTTTTGTTAACACACGCGGACAACAGGACAATGGTGGAGATTCAATTTCCCCTGTCCTTTAATTTGTTGCAATTGTTGGAAGTTCTGCGGCACTTGATGTCAAAACAATTCCACACACTTGCCCGTTGGGAATGGATGGCTGATGCCCACCTGAAAGAGTTTTATTAAATGTATGGCAATGGTCTGCCCCAAAAGCTTACAATTTCCAATTTTTATGCAGTCTCCCTGTCTCTGTGTCCCTGTGGCTGTCGTTGATCGGTAAGCACACACTCGTGTCTCTGACATCCACATATCTCTGAAGGACATGCACACTGAAGTGAAGAAACAAAAAATAAATACTATTTATGCTGGCATTTTCATACAAATTGAATCCTTTGTGGTGGCAGACAGAATTTAAAGCAGAATTTCATCCACTATTGGGATTTAATTAAATGCAGATACTATTTTTCGATACAGAATCAATTAAGTGAAGCACATCGGTTTTGTCTTAGACCATGGCCATCCTTTCATTCAATGGCATTTCGTGTGGCAGCCCGCCCATTCATCTGCTCAGTCATTTCCCTGGAAGTAAGACATAAAATTGAATTTTCGCATGATTTTCCCTCATTGCTGTCATAAGAAGCTATTAGCTTACTTACGGCTGTCGCCCCAAATGGGGGCACCGCCGTGCTAGCGGAGCGGAAACCTAAGTAGAAACCACCAAGAAAAATAAGAAAAACTGGGTAAAAGCCAAACATGGAAAGCATAATTCACAGAGTGCTGCAAAATGTGGAATTGTAAATGATCAGGCAATGCCACAGAACGGCACGGCACAATGTGCGAGTGGAAGCCAAGGCAAAGGCGAAGGCAGCGCTGAAAACTGGAGTAAGAAAGTGAAAACTTTAAGGGGGGAAATGAGAATAAAAGAAGGGATGGGGAAGGGGCAAGGGTGTTGGGTATGCTTGAGGGGAAGCCATTAAAAATTCTGTAAAATTCTCAGTACAACTTGGCTATTTGTATAGTATAGAAAGAACTTGGCCACACACACACACACACACACAGACAGAGCAGCTGTAGCTGCAGCCTGCAGCCTGCAGTTAGCGCCCATAGGTATGCTATAATATTCTCAGCATTCTTAAACTTTATTGAATTTCCCTCTCTCTAACTCTGTCTTTCTCCCTCTCCCCCTCTCTTTGCGACCGACTTTTGAGTGTAAGATTGATTTATTTTCCATTTTGCTGTGCTTTGCTTTGCCTTTTTTCTCCACACTTTTCATAACTTTTGCTGGAAATTTGTTAGCATTTAAAAATGATTTGCAGCTGCACAAAAAAAAAAGGAGAGAAGTTGGATGTTCATTTGCCTTAAAGTGTGGTATAAATCCATGGCCCCTATCCTTAGCTTGTGGCTTAATGTACGTATATGCCCCACTTTTTTCCACTTTCCACGCTCTGCTCTTCTTAACGGAACGGATCTGTGCGCATATATAAATTATGGCAATAAAAATAAAATCAACAGTGTTGTGCGTTGTGCGCTGTGCCTTTGGTTTCTGGTTTTAGTTTTCTCTTCGGGCGAGAACTTTTCACTTTCCTTTTTTGTTCGCCCATTTTCCTGCCGGGGACATTATTTTTGTGCTTTCATTTCCGTCTGTTTTGTCTGCTTGATTTTATTGCAGTTCTCTTCTTCTCAGTTGTACCACATATTTTTTTTCTGCTCCTCCGAAGTAATTTTGGTCCTTCTTTTTTCTCTCCTCCGTAGTGCTCTTTTTTCTCATTCTTCTGAACTGCTCTTCTTTTTTGTCGCTTTTCCGTAGTGCTCTTTTTTTCTGTCTGCAAATAAATATCACAAAAATTCGCTTCCCTTTCCGTCAGGGATTTTCTGGAATTTTTCTTCGCTTTTCTTCTTTTATTCTGCTGGTTATTGCCATTTGCTACTTTTGGGCTGCTTTTTGTTTTGGTTTATCCGCCGCCGCAAATTTTCCCACGACTGTTGTCCCCTCCCCCCTTCCAAAAACAATGAAATGAAAAATTATGGCCAACTCCCCGCGAAGCCCAATCCTCCTTCTGCCGTTCTGCCGTTCCGTCGTTGCGTGTGCAAATGTGTTTCTGCCATCAATTTTTATTGCCAGCTGAGTGTATCAATAAATTATACATAAAATTTTGTATGGCGCTGAAAAGCAGAAGGAATGGATGGTGGAGTGTAAAGTGCAGTGGCCACGCCCCAAATGCCTTAAATGGAGCCATTGAATTGATTTTGTGACCGTAAAATGCATTCGGACTTAGCCAATTTCTCCATCAATGCCCGTGTGTCTTTCCTTTTGCTTCTTTGGCTCGTTTGCTCTTTCTTGGACTCCCTTTTACTCCTTCTCCTCCTGTCTTTCAGTCTGTCTGTCTGTACATTTGATGGATGGCCAAGCAATTTATATTTAATAAGCTTACCAAAAAGGCAAATCAATGCCCAAGTGCTTTTCCTCTCTGTCTCTGACCAGAAAATTGCCAAAAGCTAATTGTCAGCATTTGTGGTATATCCAGGATTCGATTCAAGAGATATTCTCAGACAACTTATTCAGGAATTGGGTTGGAAAATCCCCCCCCAGAACAGACAAGCAGAAACATTAATCTTCTGATCCACAGACACACACATGAGTCAGGCATGATGTCCTGCCTCAATCATTTCCCTACTCAGTTGCTGGCTGAAAAGGAAGGAAAACAAAAAGGGAAAATCAATACATTCTATATCAATATTAATGGACTTTCAGTTACCAACAATCCACGAACACACACACACACACACACACACACACACAGAGAGAGGACTACAGCTACGGGACAACACAGACAGGGATAAAAAAGTGTTGACAGCTGCTTTTATTCACCTGTCAGGCACACAAGCCGCTAAACTGTTGATAAGCAGGCGGCCAACAGCGTGTCATACATGTGGCCCAAACCCAAACCCAAGCCCAAGCCCAAGCCCTCCCCTAGATCCATGGACCAAATCCTGTACGATGGCAGTCGACCACCTCCACACCGCCCAGAAGAAGGGCCAGCCCTGAGCAATAAAAATCCATCACAATCATTTATCAATACGGGGGAAGTCCTGTGGGTGTGTTGCTCTTTTCTCTTCTCAGTTTTTTTTTGGTGTCTAAGGAAATATGGAAATATCAAATAGTCATGTAGCAGAGCTAAAAGAAAATATGTCAACTGTCCGAAAAGGAAACTTTTGTGAGGGCCCATAAACACCATCAACAGCAGCATCAGCAGCAGCAGCAGCAGCAACTCGGACACAGATCCTAGACGAAGTCGAGTCCTGGGCGATTGTGCCACTCTGGCGGGGACCGACCTGCTGCTTGTCACAGTGCATAAATGTCAAAAAGTTCGAGCGATGATAAATGACATCAAGCGGCAGTCGCCAATGGATTAATTTGGTCATGAAATAAGAGTCGATGAAAAACGTAGGGCATGGGAAGGTACAGCGAACGAGCGATGAAAATGAATGGCAGGGAAAATCTATCAAAGGAAAACCTATAAATAGAAAAGAAAAACATTTTTGTCCAGGAAATTCTATCACAGAACCTCAGTGATCTTTTCTTGGGAATTATTTATAGCAAAAGGAAACACGGAGAGCCAATCAATAGAATATATTCCCAGAAATTCTCTGATCTCTTGTTTGGCTAAATACACACATATTTTAATTAAATTTTATCTCCACTGTGTCGCTGTGTCACTGTCTCGCTGTTGGTGTCATCTGATGAATCTTTAGCATAAAGTGAAAATATAATTCAATATCAATTTCCATTCCTGCCTTGCGCCCGAGACTGCAGCTGACAGTTCAATTCCAATTTTCCCTCCCCCTTTTTTTGGGCGAGTGTCTCTTGCGCGACTTTTTGCAAGGCAAATGAGAGTCGTGCCAAGTGCCACGCCCAGTAGCCCAGTATCCGAAACACAGACACCCGCCCAACCCATTCAGACAGACAGACACACAGACGGACAAAGATGGAGCGAGAGAGCAGAGGCTCTCAAACAATATCTGATAAGCTGCATCATACATTTGCATACTTCCGGCAATTTGTTTTTGTGCGAACCAAACGAATCGAGACAAATGCAATAAGCGCACAGCAACAGCAACAAGAACAAGAGCAGCATAAAGTGTCAGAAAAAATGGATTGGAAAGAGCACAAGAAAGCAACGAATTGTTGGGTACCCTCTAAAGGAGAAATATCAGCAGAAATATGCAGAAATTGATGAGAATCTTTTTAGGTAAACATTCATCTGGGCTGACAGCATGTATCCATGCATATAACCATGTATCATGTATCTTTAACTTACCTAAACTACCATAAACCAAACTAACATATGTGAAAAATATTTGATACTCCAGAAAAAGATAGATCTCCTAAGAGATCTCTATCTCCTATCCTTCTCCTTTTGCTGCACCAACTCCTTCACTGGTC